GGAGAGAGAGAGAGAGAGAGAGAGAGAGAGAGAGAGAGAGAGAGCGGGGGGGTGGGGGGTGGGGGGGTGTCGGAGGAGATGGATGTGATCGGATCCCTCTTGGACATTATGGTCCAAGCGAGTCATTTTCTGCACTGCGATCCCGTTCTCAACCTGTTGTTTGGGGTCTGGTTTTTAACCAATGCTGAAACTCTAAACCAATCTTGTGTCTGGGGATCTTCTCTCATCCTGTTTTTCTGTTCCAGGGTCTGATTCTGGGCCTGTTTTCTATTGCAGGGTCCTACCTGTTTTTTGTTCCAGGGCCTGATTCTGGGCCTGTTTTCTGTTCCAGGGTCTTATTATGGGCGTGTGACCGTCTCGGGTGTGTGAATTGCAGGTTGATCGTCCTTTGGAATGTTAGTGAACTGGCTTTGGTGGCAGCAGTGAAAGGGACTTTGGTGGTTGAGTGAGTGCGAATACAGTTGTGCTGCGATTGTTCCTAGTCATGTTGTCGTGTAGGATCGATGTAGTTTGTGGAAGTTTTTCCGCGAACACGTGATGTGTTTTCACATTTGAATAAGAGCATGATTGTGCACATTTTGTGTGGATGATGAGTAGCCGTTGATCTCTAGCTCCAAGTTGGGTGATTAGCTGGAGAGCTGCACAACAGTGTGAAAGCATTGAAGGAGGTACAAGCTGAGGGAGGGACTGAAAAGATCTGGGCGGGTACGCCCTCGATTTCCTAGACGAGGTCTGCAATGCCGCAGTTGAAGTACTATTGCGAATATTGTGACAAGAAATTCAATGACACGCCGGCAGCAAGAAAGCGGCACCTCTTGGGTCTCTCTCATCAGCGCGAAAAGAAGCTGTGGTATGATGCCATCAAGGCGGCTGGCGAGCGGCTGGAGAATCTGGATGGGAGGCCGCAACCCTGGGAGATATGTCGAACCTTCAGAACAACAGGCTCTTGTGTGCACGGAGCTAGGTGCATGTTTGTCCACACGTTGACGCCTCGTGCGGCGGAGTTTCCACCACCGCCGTCAGCGCCGCAAGCAGTCGTGATCCCACGCTCGTTGCCGCGGCCGCATGCGGAGAAAGATCCTGTGGCGGGGGGGGAGACAGGGCCCAGCCAGGCAACGATGCCAGTGGCAGAGCCTTTGCAAGCAGACATG